ATTGTGTTAAAAAAAAAAATCAATGACCACAAAACAAAATAAACAATACTTCTAAGAAAAGAGGTTTTTTTAAAATTTTCATTTAACTTTAATTTTAATGGGTAAACTTGTACTTTCAATGTTATATTCTTCCACATGGCTCGCAGACTCAAAAATTCACAATTATTTCAAAGAACCGGAGATTGCAATGAAGCTACAGTTAAATTGCAAAGTCGTAGTATTCTGATTACTAAATTTGTAGGTAGTCTATTTCAGTTAGAAGTGGAAGACAATCCCATGCGATTTATAGGGTTCCAAGAGAAAGAAAAAGTGAAAATAAGAAACAAAAATAATGGCTAAGCATCCAATTTAGTTGGACAACAATCTCGAATTTATGTGCGCGTTGGGGGAACTCGTACGTGTCCATCATGTCTCCATTGACACTCAAGGATTTTATGCAGCTCGCCGGAGGAGATAATTATAACAATGGTGCGTAACTCAAGGGGCTTGTGAGATTTCTGCAAATACAATTGATTTTTAGCCGTAATCTTTACTAGCAAAGTTTGGAGTTTAGCGATGACATGTACAAAAAAAAAAAAGATAAGATGGCGACTAAGAGGCTGTTTGGTTGGCTTTTTTTGTTTAGGTTTCCCTGTCAAAACTGACAAAGGTTGTCAGTTTGCTTTACTTGCAAAAACGCTCATTTTGAGACGTTTTTGCAAGTAAAACTGTTAAAACAGATAATTTTTATCAGTTTTGACAGGGAAACAAGGGCAAAAAAATACCAACCAAACAGCCCCTAAACCCAGCAATGAGTTACTTCAATCCGATGAAGAAGATAAAACGAGTTATTTCAATCGAATGAAGAAGATAAAAATTTAAGCTATTTTCCCCCCTTCGGAGAGCGCGGATTTAAGAAAGCTAATTACGGTTGCACGTTTCAATCGTATCCCAAACATTATTTTTTTAAGTATCGAAACAAATCTGGAGCCGTATCAGGCTTCCGGATCACTCAAAGGCGGGTAACCCCGTATTCATTTACTTTATCAATTATTTTAAAATAAATTCCCCTCAATTTGGGAAGTGGTTGCACGTTTTCGCTTGTGCCTGAAGGTGAACGGGCCTCGCCTCCACCGGGCCCATTATCGCACCCACTAAATATATGCTCGCTTTCTCCGCACACCAAAAGAATCCGACAAAAAGATCCCAATTCTCACACCATCATGGCGCAAGCGCGCTCCCGCGATCCGCTCACCTCCGCCTCCCTCCTCCTCCTCCTCTTCCTCATCGCCAGTGCCGGTCACGGGATCCCACCCGGGTTCCGTCGCGGCCCCACACTCTCTGCCGCGTCCGTCACCGATGGTGCTCCCGCCCTTGCTCTGCACCTACCCGCCACTCCCAGCGACCGCCGGCGACGCCGCCAGTTCTCCGCCGCCAGCTTTCAGAAGGCGGAGAACCGGACCGCCAGCGCTCGGATGAGACTTCACGATGATCTTCTTACTAACGGGTAAGCTCACCGCTTTCTTTGATTCCGCCCTTTCTCTGGATCTGATTTCTGTTAGTAATTGGATTCGTTTTGATTTCTAGGTATTATACTACTAGGCTTTGGATCGGGACACCGCCTCAAGAATTTGCTTTGATTGTGGATTCGGGGAGTACGGTGACCTATGTTCCGTGTTCTTCTTGCGTGCAGTGCGGTAATCATCAAGTAAGTCGGTGACTGTAACTCTCTATTTGGAACAAAAAGATTCGCTTTTTTTTTGGTAAAATAAAATCTGTTTCCCCTTAAAAACAAAAAAGCTGAAACTAAGTTGATACTTTAAGTTTGTGGCAAAAAATTTGAAATCTTCGTGGAGCATAGCATCCTTTTCTTTATCTCTTTTGCTAATAAACTCGGAGAATAATTGCGTTCTCAGTTTACCTTAACCCCTTTTCACTCGGCAACAACCCGCATGCTTGAATAGGAGAATTGGGTTGTTCATTTGTGGCAGAGATACTTTCAGTCCAAATTCGTTGGAGTTTGAACATTGAAGTTGCTCGTGATGAGTTTGACTTCTCTTATCATAGTAGAAGAAAGAGACTTGTTGAAAACTTTATCATATCTACCACTCTGATGCTCTAATCAATCCAACATTTCCTAAGCCATAAATCTGTTCCCATTAGGGAACTCCACCAATTTGCTAACTCAAGACGCATGCATGTCTTCGATGTCCTTGGGAGCCTCATTTTATCTTTTAGTGGCAGTATAGAAGGAAAGAAACAGTTTGGAACTTTGCAAGTCATTTTGTTCCGAAAGATCTAGGCTTAGGCTTGAGAAAAAAATTTGGTTTTCCAAACATAAATTCATGGAAGATGCCCCATCAAGTTGGAAGAACATTTAAATAAGTGTTTAATGAAGTGATTTGAAGGCCATCTAGCTCTAAGTTGCATAAATTAGGTTTTTCTTTTGTCAATCGGGACCACGGATGAAAGGAATTAGGACATGAGCCCTTCACAAGTCTCTTACCGTTTGGCAAAGGGTTAAGTGAGGGGTTAAGGAGACTTAACCCCTTTTTAACCTGCCAAACACAACAAATCTATATAAGGGTTAAAGTGAGTTAACCCTCCATAAGGTTGTTGATAGCGGATCGCGTCGCGTCGCGGCGAGGTACCGCTTAGGCTATTGCGGGCTATTGCGGAAAAATAGCGGCAAATAGCGCACGGTCAAATAGCGGTCAAATATAAATATGTTTAAATATTCTAAATAATAAGAAAAATCTATAAAAATCTAAAATTTCTATAAATGCATAATTGATAAGCTTGTTGTATGAAATATGAATGAACTATGAAGAAATTCAAGAAATACAACATCTTAATTAGTTAAGGGTAGTCGATTACCTGTTTCTCTGTTGCAGACGAAGCCGCTGCCAACAGAGATGGAGATGTTGTCGTCGGAGCCTGGAAGTCTGTCGGTCGTCGGAGCCTGGGAGCCTGGAAGTCTGTCAGTCGGAGCCTGGAGGAGTTCGGTCGGAGCTGGAGGAGGATGATGATGTTGTCGTCGGAGCTTGGAGGAGGAGGAGGAGGAGGAGCTTGGACGAGGAGGAGCATGGAGGTGGAGGAGGAGGAGGAAGAGTTCGGTCGGAGCTAGAGGAGGAGGAGGAGGAGGAGCATGGAGGAGTTCGGTCGGAGCTGGAGGAGGAGGAGGATGTTGTCGTCGGAGCTTGGAGGAGGAGGAGGAGGAGCATGGAGGTGGTGGAGGAGGAGGCAGCTAGGGCTTCGTTGAAGGGGTTCGGGAGACATTACGTGAGAGGCGGCTAAGCTTCGTTGAGAGATTACGAGAGAGCTTGATCGTCGTCGTGAAAGTTGTTGTCGCTGGGGGTGGTGCGTCTCTGGCAGTCAGTCGTCGCTGGAATCAGTGTCCGGCGGTGCGAGTTTAAGGAGCAGCAGTCGGGAGGCGGGAGAGAGCGTTGGACCGTCGTCGCTGAAGTTCGTGCGCTCGCTGGCGGTGGTCGTGCGGCCTGGAAGTGGCCGTCGCTGGGGGTTGTCGTCGGCTGGAGACCAGTCGTGCGGCGGTGAGTTAAGAAGCAGCAGTCGGGAGCAGGCGCTAGGGCACAAATCGGGTTGGGGAAACTGAGGGGAAGGGTTTAAGTATAGTGGGTATGCGGGTCAGGTTCGGGTCGGGTTCGGTGCTTAAAAGCAGATGGGGGTTTAGCGGTTAGCGCTTAAAAACGCTTTTATAAGCGCTAAAACGCGCTATTACGCGCAATTCGACAAAAAAGCGGTTTTTACCGCCTAAGCTTGCCGCAAATGACTAACGCGTAGCGCTCACCCCCCGCTTCCGCTATTGGCGCCGCGATAGCGGCACTTTTTTCCGCTTTTTACAACAGTGACCCTCCATAATTTGCCAAACATAAAAAATATAGAAGGGTTAAGTTAACCCCTCTAGAGGGGTTAAAATGAGTTAACCCCTCAAAATGAGGGGTTTACTAATACTCCTATTTAGATGGAATAAGAGTTAACCCTTCTAATTATAAAGAAAATAGTCAAAATCATTGTTATTCCCAAACACTAAAACTGATCATAAGGGCTAAAATAAAACTTATTTAACGGGTTAATAATTTAGTCATTCGGATTATCAAATGGGCTAAGTACATTAATCCTTCTCTTTAACCCCTCTTCATTAACCCTTTGCCAAACGGGGCCTTAAGGAACAAGCTGGCAAAAAATAGTTTTATTTCATTGCATGTTCTCAATTGTATGGAGGGTTCATGAAGAAGTAGCGAGTTCATATTTATAATAATTCATAAACGAATGGTTGAGTAGTTATTTGAGAATTCAAATATAAAATTTTTGCTATTGCCATGACATATACTCCACATATACTTCAGAAGGCAGTTAGAAGACTGGGCATGGGAAAAACAGAGCAAAGAATATTCTTGTTTGATACAGAAAATACACAAAAGTACTTTCTCAACAATACGAGGGAAAATGGAATATACTCTATTCATATACGTGCTTTGCTAAAATTTCCCTATTCTGAAATTGCTACTTCTCTAGCTGTGGTCTATGCTGTATTGTCTACTGTAGTATTTACATCTTGTTTATGAATTGTTATTATTTTAAAGTTTTCATATTTAGGCCTGTATGAAGTGTAACCTTTCCTTATTTGCAGTTTAATTGGTTTTATGTATAGGACCCAAGATTTCAACCTGATTTGTCAAGCACCTATCAACCTGTAAAATGCAATATAGATTGTACTTGCGATGTTGACAATTCACAGTGTACTTATGAAAGACAATATGCTGAGATGAGCTCCAGTAGTGGTGTTCTTGGCAAGGACATTGTGTCGTTTGGCAGTCAAAGTGCACTTGTGCCTCAGCATGCTGTTTTTGGTTGTGAAAATTCTGAGACTGGTGATCTATTCAGTCAACATGCTGATGGGATAATGGGGCTTGGTCGTGGACCTCTCAGTATCGTGGATCAACTTGTGGAGAAAGAAGTGATCAGTGATACCTTTTCATTATGTTATGGTGGTATGGATGTAGGTGGGGGCGCTATGGTTCTTGGCGAACTGCCTCCTCCTACTGAAATGGTCTTTTCACGGTCTGATCCCGTCCGCAGGTATGAATGGTCATCGATATTGGAATAATCAAATTTATGCATCGTTGTTTCTGAATGCGTTTTTTTGCATCTCACACATTTACTCTAGTCTGGGCATGGCAACAGCCCATATTATAATATTGAGCTGAAGGAAATACACGTTTCTGGGAAGCCATTGCGGTTGAAGCCAAAGGTTTTTGATAGTAAGCATGGGACCGTCTTGGATAGTGGCACTACGTATGCATATTTACCTGAAGAAGCATTTCAAGCATTCAAAGATGCTGTATGATTCATTACCCTCTGATTTTGAATTATTATTATTATTATTTGACTGGGATGAATTGCAGGAGGTTTAAAATTGCTTACCCAATACTTGTGCTACCGTCTTAAGATATCATCTGGGTCTTTGATATATAAGCAAGTTATCTCTCTCTTTAGTCACATCTGCATTCACTGAGGTAAAACTATTTAAGGTCATGAAGAATATCAGGATGGTGAGTTCTTGACACAACCCCAACAGGCCCCCTCCTCCTCCATCCCTTCCATTTTCCCCTCCTTTAAATGTCCCCCCTATTAGTTATGCAGTGTGTCCAATTGATGCAATTTAGATGTCATCAAGGTTTTTTCTCTGACTTGCTCTTGTTCACCAGCTAACTGTGTTTTATGGCTCTTCCAGAGTTCCACTCCAATCCCCACCCATACATACCTACACATTTCCCTTAAAATACCTACACATTTCCCTTAAATGTTTCCTGTTTTCCTTTAATGAGTGCAGGCTTGCTCTTTTTTACTGTCTCTTCACAATGAATTATTCTCTAACAGTGGAGCTTGGTTGCCTTGCTAGTGTTCTTCTATATGAGAGAAAATCAAGCTAGTGGAATAGTCTGATGTATACCGTTGAGTCTCCATGTAATGTTGAGGATTAGCATTATTTTGGTTGTTCATTACTGATGCAATGTGCACATATGCACATACGCTAGGGTGCGCTTTATGCCTGATCCTTGATCTTCTGCATGATAAAGTCTCATCCAAGTTGGTTGCTGTATCTGCCTTACCATGAACGCATTTACTGATTAGCCATGAATGTAATCTTGATAATCTAACTATCTTCTATTGCTTAAAATTCATGATACTATCATCTTTTTAGCAAGTACTTTTTTTCCTTCTGAATCCAACATTTGCACCCTTAGCTTTCCATACATGCCTTTGACATGAGAAGGAGCTTTGCCTTCATGCTTTTGTTGTAGAGTGTCATTTGACCCGCATAAATTCTTGTTATACTTATATGCTAGTTTGACAGCGTATATCACCAAATGGTAAATATTTACCATTTAATGCAATGTAAATGTTTTATTCACCCAATATTTCTCTATGTGAACTAATAATATTGGTGTTGTTTCCATATATTGCATTTTCCTATGCCAATGGAAACCTTATTGATCTTTGTTCTCTTCCTTCCCCTGGAAAATTGATAAAATTTTAACAAAAGTGACAAATCCATATCCTCTTTGTTGTTCCTTTACCGTCTTGTTAAATTTTATTCAACATTACAATTATAGATAGTACTGCTTGAGTCGGTTGTGCACCCTATTTTTTTTGCAGATTTTTTAACCTTTCAGTTGAGATCAAGAAAGTGGTATATTTTAATTCTATAGGCTATATGGAATAAAAAGAAAGTGGTATATATTTTAAATCTATAGGCTATGGAATAAGAAAACATGTTGTTCATAATTTTATATTTCTAACTGGATCCATGTTAATATGCACTATGAAGTTAATACTGTTAGTCTTTGCTTTGCAGTTCTATATGTTCATTCCATCAGGTACCTGGACAATTATCTTACCAAATAATCTCTTTTTCATGCTTTGCATCTTGTAGATTGTAAGGAGCCTACATCTCAAACAAATCCCCGGTCCAGATCCAAACTACAATGATATCTGTTTTTCTGGTGTGGCAAGGTAATGTTCTATGCGCCACAGGAACAAGAATTATTGTCTTTGACTGACTAATAGTTTTGCTATCTGGTGGAACCTATCTAACAATCTTATGAATATGCGCAGGGATGTAACTGAACTCTCAAATATCTTCCCTGAGGTTGCTATGGTTTTTGGCAATGAACAAAAACTGTCATTATCTCCTGAAAATTACTTGTTCCGGGTAATGATGACTAATTATAGTAGACCTGAGTGGCTTACAACAATTATTTCTATTGCTAACAGTTATTCTCTTTTTGTTCATGTTGACAATGAAGCATTCTAAGGTCCACGATGCTTATTGCCTTGGAGTCTTCCAGAATGGAAAAGATCCAACAACACTCTTAGGAGGTATCTCATGTTTAGATGGTTTACTTACTATTGATACTTGTCTGCCAGTCAAATTTCAATCATCTAAGTCTGATGGCAAGATGATATCAGTGTCCGTTGTAAACTTTCATTTTTCATCTGGTGCTGGTTCTATCAATTCAGTGGTCTTTGTTATGTTCAAAGGATATCCATTTCTTTCTCCCATTCAACTGATTAACGTAATTTTTTTGCTTGTTAGGAATTGTTGTCCGTAATACCCTTGTAACTTATGATCGTAGCAAGGAAAGAATTGGGTTTTGGAAAACCAATTGTTCTAAATTATGGGAAACACTGCAGATCAATGGAGCTCCATCACCAGCTCCCTCTAGTTCTTATAACAGGGAAGCCATGACAGGGCTGTCACCAGCACCAGCTCCCACAGAATTGTCAAGTTATATTCGACCAGGTGTGGTACTAATATGCACATATGAACTAGTAATTTGTACATTTTGGTTATTTAAGCTTCCTAGAGTTTTCTCTTAAGTCATAGCACTTACTTCACCTCCCCCCCTCCCCATCCCACCCACACACACAAAATCAAAACCCTTGACCAAAAAAAGAGAGGCAAAAAAAAAGTGGTTGCTCTTGTGATTATAATATTCTTGTTGTTTTCTACTTTCATGCTACGGTCCCTAGAAGGTGTGGCCATGTGTAGGATAACATTAGGATAGGTCCCCTTACCGTTACCCTAGCAGGTAATTAGAAATTAATACTACCCAACTCTTAACAAATAAAATTTTCGTTACCTCATAGGCTAAATGGTTAAGGCATAAAAAAAGAACTGAAAAAGGTACTATGATTTTTTTCCCTAAATGGAAGCTCTAAATTATGTTAAGTGATCTTAAGTCAAAGTGCCCCATAACACTCATCCACAATCCATGACTTATATCAAGGGTAACATAGATCTCTCACTCCTAGCATACTGTACTCTAATTGTTTTAGTATTCATTTAATTTATACAAGAAGTATAAATTGCATATCCTTAACCTGCATGTTGAGATAAATGCGTAAGAAAATCTTTCCCTTGCTCTTCCAAGATAGATAAATGACCAACCAACTCTTTCCTTTATTCTAAAAATAGACTAGTGGGGGAAATTAGATGGGATTTACTATTACTCTTTCCTAACCCATAAAGAAAAGTGGTGGATTATAGAAGATAGAAACGAGTATGTCGTTGGTATATTTGACGTGATAGAAAAAAATACAATGGAGAAGAGTGTACATGTTTTAAGTCTTCGTTGATGAAATTAAACACTATGATACCTGAAGAGTGGACTAATCGCCGTTTCTTGGTCTGACAAATGCAAACCCATGAGGGATCAGAGTTAAGGTGCTTGCTTAAGCTG